AGCTTCCAAGTGCCATGGTCAAAGGCACACACCACCACATTCAGTTTCTAATGCAGACTCTTGTTTCTAACAGTGTATTTGATGAATAATCTCACGTCCATATTCATGACCTTTTAGACATGAGACCTTACTTGGAAATGGAGTCTGTACAGAACTATTCCATGCCCTCTCCAGAGATCCTTCTAGAAGATGAGAGGACAGAGAAAGTACCAGGCTATGAACCAGGGATTGCAGAAACTACCACTGATGGGAGGGAGTAGCAGGCTCTCCTAGTCTTCAGAGGGAGGACTTCAAGTCATTTTAGCTTCTTCTCTCCTAGAACTCTGGGCTGAAACTGGCCACTGCCCAGAGTGCTATCCATGGTAGAAATGCCTTGGGCTTCTGTTCTGTCTCCCTAAAGCTATGGCTCACACTGGCCCCACTCTTACAGATGCCATCTCCACTTTTCTCATTGGTTCACTAGCATCCTCTTTCAAGAATTAGCTAGGTGTCACCCTGCTTAGAAAGCGCAGCCTGAACTAATCCATCAGGGGCTGTGGGAACACCTTCCCTGTGCTCAGGCATTCTCTAGAAGCACAGAGCACACTGTGTTAAGACACACAGATTGCAAATAGAACTTCCCTACCGTTGTGGAATGAGGGGCCGTCTAGTGCCTTCCGGCATGTAGAGATGCACGCAAGCTGTCTCATGAAGTAGCATGGGAAAGCTAGAGAACACACCGAGAAAAAGAGCTTTCTTTGATTTTGTTTTCTGTTTTCCCAGACATGTCTCTGTCATTTACCAGCTGTCTGACTGGAGTCAAGTCATTCAGTCTCTTCGAGTGCGGATAATGTCTGTCTCTACCTCACACACAGGTTGAGGGTGAACGATACTAAAGTGTGTCACCTACTTAGAGCACACGTGGGGAGAATGTGGGAAGTGCCAGCCACTATTATACTTGTTCCCACAGCAACGTTGTTCTGGATCAGGACTCAGCATTAATGTCAAAGGTCAGAGGCAGCTTTGAGACACACTGGGGACAGGAGTGAAGGAGGTAGGGTAGCAAGCTCAGTTGTGACATGCCATGGCATATATATCATGGCTCATATAACCTCAGCCTTATTTTCACCTCAGTAATAAGAAAAGTCTAGATGAGACTGACATCTCACCCTCAACTCCCACCGGGATTCCAAGATGTCCGGGACCTAGAGGTCCTCAAGCCATGATGAATGTTTTAGACCTTAAAGAAATAAAGTGTATCCATGCATCCTCATTGCACTAACCAAATGCAAGCTTCACCCTTTACAGGGAATTATACAGCAACTACATGAAAATGTGCTGTTTACTTAGCAGTGATTGGCAACTTGGATTGGCAGCTCCTTATGCTTTTCGAGAATCAAAAGCAACAAAATCTAAACCCCGGTTTCCCTTAAAGTGCTGTTTCCTAAATAGATGTTTGCAAAGCATGTGATCCATGGGGAGAAGATAATGAGGTGGCCAGTGGTGCAAGGCCGAGTCGCTGTGGGTTAGTGCATCTCTCAAGTCCATTTGACTCTAGCGCGTCGGGAATTACTGAAAATGTCTTTAAGACAATCAACTATAAAAATGTATTTCATATTTGATTTTACTCTTTGGCCTCAAAGGGAAATGCCTTGTTCTAAAGTTTCAGGCAAGGAGGCAGGGGGATGGAAGCTTTAGCTGCAGAGTCTTAAGCATAGGTATATGAAGGGGGTTTTGGGAAGCCAGAAATGCTAAAACAAGAGACAGAAATGAATGGAGGGTTTTTAAACACAGGCTGTTCTACGTGTTGGGGTGCCCCATATCTTCTTAGCACCATGAGTAGGGTAAGTGGGGCAGTACAAGGAGCCTGGGAAAATCCAGGAACAAGTCGTCTCTGTCTTCAGAAGCCATCCCCTTTCCTGGAATTGAGGGGGAGATGGGGAAGCGCTTCTCAGTCCCAGACTGGTTACGTACGTACCACAGCACCCAGAATGGGGAGAGTAGAAGGAACATAGACATCAGTGGAAGAGCTGTGGATCCCCCGGGGAACCAGGGTGCTGGCAGAGAGATGGCCAGCTGCAAAATGAGAAAACAGGGTGCTAAGGGAACATGAGTGACATCCCAGATGAAGCTGTGAGTTTGACGCTACTCTTAGCCTCGTTTTACAGCCCTGTGAAAATGAGTGAAGACCCTCGACATGCAAAAGCTAGTAATATGGAATTTGATATACCACTGAGCCAAGCACCACCACACAGGTTTAAGGGAGACTCAAAGACAGGAAAAGAAGGACGCTTCCTCATAGAAAACAAGGAAGACTTCAGGCACGTGTCCCCTGACTGTAGGTTGCTGTGAGTGAAGCTGGGGGAGGGCCAGCTAGAGGCAAAGCACCCCATGCTGCTGTTAGGGGTGCATGCCTGCCATTCTCCACTTGGTCCTAAACTGGCAGCAAGGAATGAAGCTGAGGGATGCTGTCACTGATCAATAGTCCAGCTGGGTGCCTCCTGCTATAGAGTTAATGCATGGCTTCTTGGACTGTTTTCAGAAAGAGCAATCTGCCACCATCTAAGTATGATTTACAGCAGATTGTTCTCCTTGGCTGGACTAAATACTACAGGTTGGGAGTCAGTCTTCTCCTTTTCTATATGGGTTGTCATTGAACACTGTATATTCATTCTTTTGGTTTCTCAGTGTGAGTCTGTAGAGGACAAGTTACTCCAAATACAGCACATATCCTCAGAGTCCCAGGCCAGAGCTGAAATGGTTTCTGAACTCTACCCAGCACATCAGACTGGAATATTTCCAATTCAGTGGAAATGTCATGTTTACCTGCGAACTGTACACATGGGGTAACAAAATCACCAACTGTGTCTTCACCTAAAGCAGGATTACATTGTTGCTTTTCTGTTTATGATTGACTTTCATAGTATGATTAATAAGTTATGGGAAGTGATTTGATAAATAATAAATCATTGGTAGATAAAATTTTCCAAAACCCAGGATACATGAGAGAGAAAGTTTTCAAAGGGGTATTAAGTAAAGAAGACTTGAAAATTCTCCTTGTTCTAAAATCCAAATAGCTCCCCTTCTATGAACTGTGTCCAAGATCATTGGCCAGAACAGAGCCTGAGTGAAGCAAATTGTAGATCTGCTCAAAGAGGCAAAAGGTGTGTTCTCACTAGATCTACAAATACAGTCTACATATACAAAACCAGTCTGAGGCCCATTCCTTTTCAGTTCCCAGCCCTCAGTGGCCAAGAAGCTCACAAATAAGTACAACATTCACATTATATATAAGTAATCAATAAATACATGTCCAAATAGCTGTTTATCCAGTAGGCCTGAAATTCACACCATCTCCTGACTGTGAGCGTAAAGCACTCATAACTCCCGAGGAAGAATCCAGGTACCACTACTGGGTTATTTTGGGAAATAAAAACAGTTCTGCTCAACCTGTTCATCGGCAGAAGACATGATTTCAGTGTAGGAACAGGATTCTGAGGTCCCACAAAAGCTGAGTAAAGCTAACTCTTCTATGGCTTAGCAAGTGGTTTTGACAGGCATGCAGCTAAAAGACATTAGCATCATTTCCCTCCCTCCCACATCCCTCCTCCATCTGATAAACTCCATTCATATCCCAGACCCCAGCAAATGCTAGCCTTTCTGCAGCAAGTTTCCCTGACTGGGACCTTTTTGCAGGATGTCCCTACGTTTTGCCTCTGTGGTTCTTTTTGAACACTGTTAATAAATGCATCGTGTTATCAAAGCTAATCCATATACATCATTAAGCCCTCACCGCTCTCCTGCTTTCTTGCCAACACGTCTGCCTCGCCTGCTTGTTTCATTATGCCAACATCGCCTGTGTACATCATGTTTACCGTTTCATGTAACAGTCGCAAGATCTAGTGAGGAATGTACAATTATTTAATGTTCCGTAGAGGTGACACAAGGTCACTTACTTGTGTCAGATGCCAAAGTGAAAAGCAGACTGAGTCCTGGGCCTCAGCAGTTGGCAAATTTTCCAAGCCATTTTTCTTTCCCTCCACGAGCTCTGAATGCTGCCTTGCCTGGCAGCGATGACAAGTCCCCTGCCCAGCTCAGTCTACCTGCCACCAGATCATGCTGCAGTGCTAAGAGGCATACATGACATGGGTCTGAGGGGATCATCCAAGGACTCTCCAACTTCAACCACACATCGTTTCTTGATGCTTTATTTTCTTCCCAGAAAACCCTCCAAGTCCATGCTTTGCAATATTTCTTCAATGATCCCATATTAAAAAAAAAAAAAAAAAGGATCAAGGCCTACACACTGACCGCATGTGGTACCAATTTTGTAGCACAGTCTCTCAGAACCCAAATTGTAATGTGTTTAATGTTCAGTGTTAGCGTGCAGGACCTCTGTAGCTAGAGGATGAGGATGTCCCATGCAGCAGTCCCTGCCAAGAGAAAAGCCTGGCTGGAAGGAACCCAGTGCTCTGATATCATAACTCAAACAACTTCCCAATTTTCATTGTCTTCCCAAGTAAATTCTCCCTCGGGGAGAGGGGAGGGGGTCACTGATGAAAAAACCCGAGTATGTCTCTTTGCAGAAGACATGTACAGTCTCCATTATAAATTAACAAGCTGGCATTCCATTCTGCACAGCAGCGAAATCAAATATATAAAGAACAAAGCATTTGCTATTTCTGACGGTTTTGCCGTTTAGGTCTTGTCTTCCCACACTTGGTCTTTGGTGGCCCTGTCTTCCTGCCACCTACCCTGGCTCTGCCCCCAGCACCTCTGCACCTTCTTTCTCTGAAGGGCTCCAGTGAACATCACCAAAAGCTTGAGGGTCTTAGCAAATTGTGGTAGAAAAGGAAAAGCAAGTCAAGAACAGGAACCGCTCCCTTTCTGTCCCACGGCCCGTGAATGAGCATTACCTCTATTCTTTTAGCTTTGGCACTCAGCTGCGCACACCTACAATTCTCACACCTGCAAAATTCATAGCAAAGCCCCCAGGACATCATGTGGTACCATATACTCACATTTTCTGCCCGGAGCCTCTTGGCAGGACATCCACCATCCCTGGGGTGAAGCATGTAATATAGTCGGACTTTGCTTGCATGTTTTCGACTCTGGGGAGGAAAAACAAAAGGAGATTACTGTGAAATAGTAGCCGCTTGTGAGGAGTGACTTGGAAAGGCAGACAGTGGCCGCAGAAGCAAGGAATTTTCAGTAGAAAATATTTGCTTGTACTCCTGCAGTTTCCACAGGATTCAGCTTGAGGTAGACTGAATTAATCTAAGTTCCCAAGCCAGTATCATTTCAGGATAATAAAACTAGTGACCGAGAGTTATGAATCGGTTCACTTTATGGCATGTATTTAATTGTCGTCAAAAGACAGGTAAGCAGAGGACATTGTGGTCAGATCCACTGTGGTGAAGAGAGCACCTGGATGTCCGCTCTCATGTCTCGCCCGAGCTCAGACTTGGGGCACTGACAGCAAGCCTGGCAACTAGTCAGAGCCCAAGTGTCCTAGAAGCAACACAGGCAAACAGCTTCAGGTAAATGGCGAAGGTCTGTGGGCCATTGACTGGGCCAAGGCCAGCAAGGAGACATTCATCCCATCTTGGTTCGATTTCTCCTAGTCCTGTGAGCAAAGGACCCTGGGCCTCACCTCCATCACTCTGAAGACTTGGAATTCTAACTTTCATGTTCTCCCTGAAGCAGGAAAGAAGAGATCAGAAAGCATCCCTGAACTTCAGAGTCCGGGTCCCAGCTCTACCACCTTCTTGCTGCATGACGTCAGAGCATGACGTCATCAGCTGGCGTGAACCCTTAGTCTAAATGGGTCTGATTCTTCTCCACATACACAATGAACGCAATGCTATCATGGCTGTTGTGAGAGCTGAATGAGAAGATTTCACATGAAACACTGTGATTTCCACAAACCCACTTTTCTTCCCATTGACTACACCAGTGGGTTGGGGCCCACTCTATTCTCATTTCAATCCCCTTTCTCTTCCCTTTCTTGGAGATTACCTCCTTCTGGAGGCCTCTTTCTGCTCCACGCTGTCTTCATTCCCAGCTGAGTGCTCGCCGGCCTCCAGGATGATGGCTTACTTTTATGGATTAGCCACCGAGGCAAACACAGGGAGTTGCATTTTGTTTGCGGCGTGCACTATAAATCCTTTCTCCCTGCCTTCCTCATTCATCACTTCTTAATTTCATTATTCTGCCTAGAACAAGGAGATGACACTTCCAAACAGTCCCTGGATGCTTTTCAAGGCCTTCAAGGGGGTTTAAAAGCAGTAATAGAGCATGAGAAATTTTACAAATGGATACAATTTTTTTACAAATTCCAGTGTGGCTGGAAACACACTGTGGTCATCTCTAGGTTCCAGAGCAAGGTCTAATTAAAGTTGGCTGGAGTATTTTCTTGACATCTGGAAAAATGATAGGATGGAGAACTAGAGACTTGTGAGGACATGGCATGACCCAACGTTGCTCAACTTCTACAATATGTTTAAGAATGATGTGGTACAAACTAGTCTTCTCTCTCTCTCTCTCTCTCTCTCTCTCTCTCTCTCTCTCTCTCTCTCTCTCTCTCTCTCTGTGTGTGTGTGTGTGTGTGTGTGAGAGAGAGAGA